CCACTCCAGGTACGACTTTCTCCTTGCAAAGATCATCCACTTTGTTCTAAAAGTTTCATCCTTTACCCCCTTTTCTTGCATGTTCTTCGCCAAGATTTATGCCATGCATCATACCGTTCTTCCCCTCTCCGCGCGAGCACCCGATCCGGCCGCCCTGAGCGCCAAAATCCGATTTTGACGACTTGGGTTCGCTCCCCGGCCGCCGCTCCCCCTGCCCAACTGGATCTGCGAGCGAGAAATCGGCTGCACGGGTGAGATCACACATGGTCGGGTCGGTTCCATCCTCTCGGGCAGACGCTGGAGGGCAGCTGCTCCGCGAGCTCGAGGCGCTCAGCCAGGCGCTCTACAAGGCCAAGGGCAGCAGGAAGGAGCCGCAAGATCGAGCGCTGCTAACATGGCACTCGGACGGGGCCGATCTTCCCGATTTCTTGAGCGATCAGGGGTCTGTGCCAGCGGCGGCAGTGACGCAGCAGCTCCCAATCGCCCACCAGCGCAAGAAGAAGGGCGGCAGCCTCTGGGACTGGAAGCCGCTGCGAGCTCTGGCGCACATCGGCCAGACGAGGTTTGGTTGCGAGTTCGTTGCCCACGTCCACGGGATTAGCAAGCTCCCAACATCGCTGGAGGGCCTTCGTCTCCAGGTCCGGCTCAAGCACAAGGAGAGCGAGGCAAGAACAGTGCCTTCCCTGGTTTTCAAAGGCTGTGCCGATTTCGAGGAGGCTCTCCGGATCAAGTGCGCCGTCTATGGCAGCTCCAGCTCCAGCGGTGGCGTTCGCTACACGTCCAAGACCTTCACTCTCTCGGTCGTGGCTCCTGATGCTAGCGAGCTCGAGCTCGGCAAGCACAGGCTCGATCTCAGCCGGATCCTCCCGGACGATAGCTCCGCTCGGGGATCGGGGAAGAAGAGCAGCTGGAACACGAGCTTCAAGCTCTCCGGGAGGGCCAAAGGTGGGATTTTGGTGGTGACTTTCGGGTATGAGATGGATGAGAGTGGTGACCCTGTTCCATCGTCCACGGATGCTGCTACTACCGGGAAGTTCAGCTCGCACTCTCCGCCGGATTCAAGGCTGGTGAGGTCCTTTAGCAGCTTGCCGAGCTCGCCGCAAGGTGTGATCGCTCTCTCCGGTGTGAGGAAGCAGCAGCAGAAAGGTGGCGGAGCTTCTCCCGCGCAGTCGGAGCCCGAGTACTCGATCGACGTGGAGAATCTAAACCTTGACGACGATGATCCGGAGGAGGAGGAGGACACCGGGACAGCCATGACGATGAGCTCCAGCTCGGGGCTGCTGGCGCCGGATACTCCTGGGAGGCAGCAAGAACAGGAGCTCAAAGAGTTTAGTATGGAGCAGTCGGATGATCGAGACGAGGATGACGGCGAGGCGGACTTCTCCGTGGTGGATCAAGGCGTGGAGGAGTCGTCTCGTCGAGTGGAGGAGAGTTTCTTCGAGGAGGACCGGAGCTTTCATCCCGAGAGCGAGGGTGGCGAGCTGGACGACGAGGCCGAGAAGTTCTTACACATGCTGGGAACGAGCTCGGACGACGAGGGAGAGATTTACAGCTGCTCGCCGCGGGGATTGCTGCTGCGGCAGTTCGAGGAGGAGCAAGCTCTGCTCGGGAGGAACTTTGGAGGTGGAGGAATCGTGGCGGAGGAAGAGACTTCTACTGTTCTTGTGCCTTACTCTCGACCAGCGATCGAGCAGCAGCAGCAGCAGCAGCAGCAGCAAATCCAGGTTGGAAGCTGGGGCAGCGAAGAAGACGACGATCTCTCGGCCTTCATGGACGCGGCGGAGATGGAGCTCCAGAAGGCAGCACAGGCAGCGAGGAGCAAAGCTCGAGCAAAGCTTCTCGAGGACGCCGAGGCCGAGGCTCTCATGCAAGAGTGGGGTCTCAACGAGCGAGCTTTCCAGAGATCTCCTCCAAAGCACGCGGGGGATTTCTCGGCAGCCAGCGCTCTGGCGGTGATACCATCCGAGCCTCCATGTCTCGCGGACGGACTCGGCTCCATGATTCCAACTCGCGACGGTGGCTCGCTGCGAACGATGAATCCGATCCATTTCCAGGGAGGAAGGAACGATGGCCGGCTCGTTCTCCAGGTCTCCAAGCCAGTGGTGGTGCCTGCGGAGATGGGATCGGGTGTTTTGGATATCTTTCGCAGCCTCGCAGCCGGTGGATCCGAAAACATGGCGCTCCAAGTCATGGAAACGATGCCTCTCGAGGATATAACCGGCAAGAACATATACCAGATAGCTATGGAGGGTCAAGCTTCACTGGAAGGAGCTCCAAGGTGCGATTTCGACGATGCATGGTTGATGGTTTTACTCATTCACGTTTGATTTCGCAGGTATCCAGCTCTTGGTGGTGGACAAGGCAGTGGTAGTAACAGGCTAGCTCTCGAGTATGGGCATGGTGGAAGTGGTGGACTAGAAGTAGCCAAGAACAGCTCTGGAGCCTTGTTTGATCAGAGGAGATATGGTGGAAGTGGTGCTTCGCCGAGGCCGCGAAGCTCGGATGATACTTTCATGTCGCTGGAAGATCTGGCTCCGGTGGCGATGGAGAAGATCGAGGCTCTGGCGATGCAGGGGCTCAAGATCCAGTCGGACATGGCCGAGGAGGAAGCTCCATACGCGATCGAGCCAGGCAGCAGCAGCAATCTTTTAGAAGGTGGCGGGAGTGGAAGTTTGAGGTTGATCGAGGCAGCACCGGGGCAAGATCACGGCAGTGAGAGTGGATTGATGGCCATGTCGATCTCGCTCGACGAGTGGATGAGGCTGGACGCTGGAGTTTACGACGAGGCCGAGACGACGGACAAGACCAAGGCTGTTCTTGCAGCTCACCACGCCGCGCATTCCACGGACATCGTCTTGATGGCCAACGCGAGCGACGATCACAGCAGCAGCGGCAGTAGCGGCAAGAGAGTGATGGATTCTTCTTCTTCTTCTTCGCAGGATCAAGGTGGTCTCATGGGTGACACACTCACGCTCGCCATGCTCGTCCAGCTCCGTGATCCTCTCAGGAACTTCGAGCCAGTGGGAGCACCGATGATGGCATTCGTCCAGGCGGAGCGAGTGCTCGTTCCTCCTCGACCAAAGATGTTCAAGAGAGTCTCGATCCAAGGCAACAGCGAGGTGGACGAGGAGGAACTCCAGCAACAGCAGCAGGGATCATCATCGCAGTTCAAGATCACTGGAGTTCATATGGCGGGTCTCAAGTCGGGTGATTCGATCGAGGGTGGCAACGGCAAAAAGAGGATCTGGGGGACGCAAAAGCAGCAGCAATCCGGGTCGCGGTGGCTGCTCGCTCACGGGATGGGAAAGACTGGAGGTCCCAAGCATCCGCTTCTCAAGACTTCCAAGAATCCTGGAAGTGTTGTTCCACCTCCGGCTGTCGCCGATCAAGCTCCCACTCCAGCTCCAGCTCCAGCTCCGGCGAAGAAGAGCAGCAGCGGCAAAGGTGAATCTCTGTGGAGCATCTCGGCTCGCGTGGGTAGCAAAGCCGCCGCTGCCGCGACATCATCCATCACCCGGAATCCAGACGTCAAGTTTGGAAGCAGGCTCTCGCTGGGGAAGAAGAAATGGTGATGGATGACGAACTTGTATAAGCTGTGGATTCTATTAGATTTAAAATGAAAAAACTATAAATTATAAACATATTTAGAATTTATAAACACAAAATTAATCTAACTAATGCATGGTCACAAAACCCGTTTAAGACTGTCTTGGTTTCTTGTTGCTTGGAAGTTCCATTTGTTTTTGAAAGCCGGCCTAGCTCAGCTGGTAGAGCGCAAGGCTCTTAACCTTGTGGTCGTGGGTTCGAGCCCCACGGCCGGCGAAGGCACAGCAATGCTCTTTTTGCTCGTCGTTAGCGCCATCGACTAGGTCTTTGACCAAAGTATATGCTGCGCCAGATTCTTTACCCTATCCCACATGCCGGGGCGTGGAATGAGGGCACAAGAGCAGTATATAAGGTAGGGCCTGGGGAAGTGATCCATACTTACCTGGACGGGGTCTATTGGTGATCATGAAGGCCAATGGCCTAGGTTCGGCCTTCCCATTGCACTTCGGCTTGGCCGGCCTACCATCTTCCCAAAGTGGAGGAGTGGACGTCGTAATTTGTGGAAGTTGAGGGCTCGCGTACGCGCGGCCCTCTCCAAATTCTTAAGTCCTAAGATAATTCTTTCAGCGTAGGCTACTTAAGATGGATAATTCTTTCAGCGTAGGCTTTTCCAAATTCTATTTGTGAACTCTTCTTGACAAGGTAAAGTTCTTTCGTCTCTCAAATTTTCGAAAACACGCCTTACCTTGCGAGCCTAATAAGAGAGGCCAAGGCTAAAAGACCTAAGACTTACGACACTGATTCAGCAGAGCAAGATCAGTGCGCTGCTGGATTTGCTCGTCACAGGTCCTTTCTCATGGCCCGTCGTCTCTCTCTCTCGGCGCTTACCGTCACCGCTCCCTGGCCGAGATGGCTCGAAAGAATAGCTGGAGATGGCGAGGCAAGCCCCGGAGATGGCGAGGCAAGTCCTCAAGGAGCACGACGCCGAGTTTGCGAGAAGGCCCCACTACTCCTTCGTGCCTCGCCTGCCTCCTCAGCCACAACTTCCAGGACCTCATCTTTCGGCGAGCGATGGAAGATGCTGCGGCGAGTGAGCGCCGCGGAGCTCTTCACGGCCTCCAAAGTCAGCCACTTGGAGCTGGGAGCGTTTGGATCGATCGTCGAGTTGATCTCAGCTCCATGCTGCACGAGTACTTCACGAACCTCATGACGAGCGTGTTGATCGGGAGGAAGTTCTACGGTACCGACGAGCCCCTCACTCCCGAGGCCGAGGACTACAAGGAGTCGGATCGTAGCGAAAGAATCCAGATGGCTCTTTGCGGGTGATTACATCCCTGCGCTGCAGTGGCTGGACACGCTCAGGACGCAAAATCGTCTCAAGAATGAGGTCTTACCAGCAAGAGCTCGCTTTCTCAAAGCAGTCATCGAGGAGCACACGGAAGGCTTCGATCCAGGAAATCCCCGGGACTTTGTCGACGTGATGCTGACTCTGGCAGGCGAAAACAAGCTCAGCGACAACCGCTGCTCCAGGTAGAAAGAAAAAGCTTACCTTGTTCTTCGTACTTTGTTCTTTCTCACGTAAGCTTGCGGCAGTCTAACTTCCAGGGCGACGATCGAATGGGCCGTCTCGGAGCTGATCCTAAACCCCAGAATCCAGGAGAGAGCTCACGAGGAGCTGGACAGAGTCGTGGGAAGAGATCGCTCTCTGGAGGAGTGGGATCTAAAAGACCTGCCTTGCATCACACCACAGTCCTCGTTAACGTCTGGGCAATCCATCACGACCCAAGCGTCTGGAGCGACCCCGAGCTCTCCCCCCGAGCGATTCCTGGGCAGCGACCACAGCGTGCTGGGGAATGACTTCGATCTCCTGCCCTACTCGTCGGGGCGGCGCCGCTGCGTCGAATCCCCGTGTCAAGCTCACCTTCGCCTACCTCTTGCATCGATGGAGCTGGCGATCGCCGCCTGGGAAGAGCGCGCAATTGTCTATCGCTAAAACCCTAAGATCCTCTCATTTTGATTTCAAATATTTATAATTATTAAGATATAAAAGTAAATTGCCTATAAAACGGTAATAAAATTAATAAACATTTAACCCAACCACTAATTGTAATTAAAAGTAAACCCTTAAATTATAAAAAGGTAAAATTTCCTTTTCTTGCTAGTATAAATAAATGGCCCAAAACCACAAATGTTTCCATAGGTTTGAGTGAGAGATGGCGATCGAGAAGCCTGTGACGATGCTAGAAAAGGTGGAGAATTTCACGGCCAAGGTATTGACATGGGTGGATACGAAAATCTTTTTCAAACCCCCTCCCAAGCCGATGCCCAGCATCTGCGATCTTCTCCCCGAGATCAAGCCATGGTGCGCGGTTTGCAAGGAAAAGTTCGAGCTCGATAGCGCGGTGAAGCAGATACCGTGCAAGCACTGTTATCATCTGGAATGTCTTCGCGAGTGGATGGAAAACAATGATTCGTGCCCGATGTGTAGCGCAAAGCTCCCCAAGCCCATTACCTTTCGTGCGATATGGAAAGCAGTGGAAGAGGAAACGCGCTGGTTAGGACAGTAGATTTACATGTAACAATCCAAGAGAAATAGAATCGATCTCTTCTTTCCATGGCTATTCATCTGGAAACATGGCTTTGAACAAATCTGTGTGGCATTCATGGCAGAGATAGAACCACGAGAAGTGGCCCTCGCCTTGCAACCTGTGGAAGTTTACGTGAGGCAGGACTCGCTGCGCAAACTCGCTCATCGCAATCGGCACGACTACATCGTCAGTTCCCTGATTACAATCGCCAAGATCAGCAAGCTTTTGGAGAAAAACCAAACCAAGAACACCACCACCTACATGCCATATATGTATTGGTCGCTGGAAGCCGAGGAGATCCGACTGTTCTTGAGAGAAAAGGCCCCGCAGCTTGCTCACGATTCCATCGCCGGCGGGAGGTCTCTTTCGCTTGAGATCGCCCAAGTCGAATCCCCAGTTGTTAACCAGCAAGACTAGCTCTTGGGCCAGCGAGAAAGCTCGCTTCTGGTTCATGGATTCCCGGACGTCGTCTTCCCATAATCTCATGAAATCCTGCTGCTCGAAAAGAGCTCGATCCTGCAAAACTCGATGACCTTGAGTCATTCCACGATCAAAACAATGCAAACCTTTGATCTTGAGGTGGCATACAAGCTTCTGCTAAGCCTGTCGATCTTCTCCAGGAGAGTTCTCCGGAGAAAACCTCCAAGAGAAGATGGAAACTTCCTGGCACAGAAATGGAGCAATCTTCTCCGGAATGACCAGGCCTTCCAGGCTTTGGCCGCTTCACTCGAGGTGAGATTTCCTCCGTATGGATTTCCCGCCGGAGCAACCATAGCAACACCTGTGTCCAAGAACACAAGCGAGAACACTCTTGCTAAACTCTCAAGAGAAAAAAAAAGAAAGATGTGATTACCTGCTAGTCTCTCTGGAATGTAGTGAATCGCAGCCCAAACGTGAGGACCACCTCCATCAAACGCCAGGATCCAAAACTGGTCGCCAAAACCGAGAGCGTTGGCGATGCTGACCATGTCCGAGGCCGAGGTTTTGTAACTTCTGTTGTGGTGAGGATCACTCTCTCCAAATCCTGGCAAGTCGTAAGCCACAAGTCGAACACCATAGCTATCGAGCAGCGAAGAATTGATTCCGGGAATTCCTACAAGTTGACGGAGAGACTGTAGAGCCCATGAATGAAAAGCTCACGAACCTGCTAGTCTCGATGAGAGAAATCCATGAACAACGAGCACTGTGCGCTTTGCTTGATCGGCAGGGACACCTTCTTCCCGGTATGAGATGTTTCTACCGTCCGGCAATTGGATCCGCGTGGGTGGGATTCGAGCTTTCTGACGATCGTCTGGAGATGCCTTGGGCTGAAACGATCGTGTTCTAGGCCCTGCATTGGATCGACAACTTAGCTTCTTTCGAAGAAAAAAGAGTCCGAGCTCGGACAGCCGAGACCACCTCGGACTCCACCTCGGACTCCATCGGACCCGACTTCTAAACAGGAATACGTACCGACGAGGAGGAAGAACACGAGAGGTACTAAAATGCAGCACACCAACAGGGAGCTGGGATCCCTTCGCGCGGATCTAAGCCCCTTGAATCTCTTCCAGGCTCCATCTCGCAAGCTTCTCACTGCCCTCCAGCAGCAAACGCTGCCTCCCTCGCTCTTGGCCGCCTCGTACGAGCTCAGAATCCGATCGAAATTGTCCGCCAATGCGCTCAAGCTCCGGAGGATCTTCTGGAGGATCAGCTCCAGAGTTTCCAGGCCGCGCGACTCCTGCTGCTGCCGCTCGTGATCCTCGTACAGACCTGAGATGGTGGAATTGAGAGGCGATGGCGATGGCGATGCGTAGCGAGGCCGGACGGCGGAGTCCCAGTCGCCCTGATCGCTGTCAAGTTCCATGGAAGAACAAGAGGAGGGAAGAAGCTTCAAATGTGGATGGATTGCTATGTGGGTGCTGCGAATTTGGAGAAGGGATCTCTTGGGCAGCGAGAGGAGAGGGATTCGCGAGGAGGGTCGCTTCGTTTTTCATCCGGGAGACCCGGGGATTGCTGTTCCAGCGCCTGCCGTACGAGTGGTTTCGCACGGGCCCCAACACGAAAGTGTACGGATGCCGATCTAAACGTTGGAAGTGTGAATCAACGGAGCGCGATGGAGAAGGAGTGGTCACCCACCGTTGATTTTTTTTTAGGGTTCTTCGTGATGCTTCACCGGCTATGGCGACTTGTGGATCCCTTCGCGGTGCGGCAGCAGCGCCTCTTGCGATCGTTCGCTAGCAGCGCCATAGCAGCTCCCAGGATTGTAAATGCGAGTCGCGGCGGCTTGGTTTGGAGCCGTCCGGCGCGGCTTCCACCTGTTCTTGCGGTGAGTGTTGTGAATCTATCGATCGGTAGCTCAGATCATACTGCAGGGAATCCAATGCCGCTTCGGTGCCACGAAATCTTGCAAGAAGAGGCCGCAGAAGAAGGACAAGATGAAATCCTACTCGTAGGTAACCTAGGCGCTTTCTCCCTCTCTCACAAAATCCTTTTTTTCCTGCGTAGATCGCTCAAGCATCGATTCAAGCTGATGCCGGACGGGACCTACGCACGAGCTCATGCAGGGAAGCGCCACAATGCCTCCTCCAAGGTTTGGATCGATTTTTTCAATTGATCTTCTTCTCATCGCACTCGTCTCGCTCGCAGACGAAGAAGCAGCGTCGCCAGTTGCGAGGAGCAGCGCTGGTCCATCCCGGCTACGCCAAGATCATCCGAAAGCTCGGCTTCACTGGAACTTCGTCTTAGGTGGTGTTCTTCCTTTCCAGTTTCCACAAGAGCATGAGCACTTTCCCTGTGCATTTTTTCTTCCTCTCTCCAGGAATCCAAGAACGAAACAAAATGGGGTGTTAGATCTTGTTATTGGGTGCCAGAATCTCACAGAAGTTTCTCTGGCAGGGAGACCAGATCAGCTGGAGATCAGTGGTGGACAGCATGGAGTTGAGGGAGGAAAGGTGGAAGAACAAGACCCAGAAGAACTAGAATCCCGAGGCTGGAAAGCAGTAATTCTCGTCGTGGAGGAGCTCCGGAGTAGTATCCGCCAGGGCCACTGTTATAGCCGCGCTGGATCTTGATGTAGGCGGAGATGGTGTCGTGGGCATTGACGGGAAGAAGCTGGATGGATTGGACGGGGATGTAGTCGTGGTACTGGTAGCAAGAATCCTTCGGGACATCGTAGACGATGCCAGAGCAGGAACAATCCGCGGTGCAAGAGTCGAGACAGTCGTCCAGAGTAGCATAGCTCGGGGACCGGTTGGAGAGATTGAAGTAGGGGACATAGCCGATGTGCAAGTAGCTGAAGGCGCGATAGTTGTCGAAGATGCACGAGTAGTTGTGATCCCAGCGCTCGAATTCCAGCGCCGGCAAATCCCCGGCCGCGAGCTCCTGGACTGGAATCGGTGCTACCGCCGCCGCTGCTGGTGATTGAGAGGAGGAGAGGAGAGCCAGGAGGAAGGGAAGCGAGCAGCACCACGAACACATCGATCTAAACATTGGTGAGTAGCTTCACTATTTCCTAGGAGAACTCGCTCTAGTTCTTGTGATCCTTTATCACCCAACTTACTCGTCTTCTCCTTCCTCTTCCAGAGCCTCCTCGCTCGCAACGGGAAAGAGAATGGAATGAAAGGCAAGCGGTGTAGTGTAGATAATTGGACACTTGCCGTGGCATAGCAGAGGTTTTTTTTTTTTTTTCTTTCTTTCTTTCTCTCCTCGGGTGCTTATTTATCTGTCGCTTTTGTTTATGCTTTCTCCTGTGCTATATCTCAGGGCCGTGAAATCGACTTCCATGTCTGAGAGCTTTTCTACCTTTTTACGTTTGGAGTTATGCAAAGGAAGGACTTTCGCTGGCCTGGTGTGCTGCTGTGGACGGCTGCTTCCACCTAAATGCCGAGAAAGGGATATTCTTGATGCGGCCGCGAATATTTTCCTTTGTGTGTTCTTTTCTCCATTCATGGTGGATTCGTCCAGCCACCAAAATGGTGTTGTTTAAGTGCGGTTAAGGCTGGAAAGAAACGCTAGATTTGTCACCTCAATGGACGAGGAATCTTCTGGGAATAATCATCGCTGTTTTAGTCATGGTCCACGAAAAGTGGCCTTTTGTTTATTTGCGCTTTTGCGTGAAGTGTCAACACCCTCCCGCCATGAATCGAGAAACACCCACGAGAGTTTTGCGTTTGATGCTGACGGTCTTTTTGCAAACTCTTGTACTGTTATCGAGGATGTGATTCGTTTGGCAAGATTGAGAGCTGCTTGTTTGGACATGCATGGAATTCCATGGATGAAGTTGGTATTCGCTTAAAATTCTAAAGCTAAAGAGATTTTTCCAGCACAGAGAAGTTTCGAGTAAGGGGTCCTTTCACCTTAAAGCTGAGCCAAAAGCCAAAGCTTTCATCAAGCTGAACTTGCACTCACAAATGGAGCATTGAAAGGCTGAAGATCTGACGCTACAGCTGCATCACCACACCACTAGCACTATAATAAAATTATAACTCTAAAAAGGTAATGATAAGTCCATTTGTATTTAAAAAAGTCATCGATACATTAATATCACATTCTGTTATTTTATAGTTTGCCTTAAGTGTAGTAAATATTCCAAGGATATTCATATTAGGATTATTGTTTTCAACATTGCTACATATTTTGCACTCATTATTATTATTTTTTAAAAAGAATAAATTTTTTAGTTTTTTCAAAAAGTTGAGCACATTGTTTGTTTTATTATCAAAAAACTTACGTCTTACCATGCAACATTTGGGAGAAGCTAATGATTTCTAAGCTTTAAAATTATAGTATAAATCTTATATTTAGGTGATATAAGGATACAACATTTTCTATAATTTCATTCCTTATCATTTTACTATTTATTTTGTCTATTATTTCCTAATATTTGTATTAGCTTCTTTGGGATTCATTTTCTTCATAATAGTAGTGGGTGATTTTCTAAGTTTTAAGTTTTTATTGACAAGATTTATGATTTATTTTAGGCTATAATTAGTTGTAACTTGACCATCCAAATATTTGTCTTGGCAATCATTTATTATAATATATGGACATAAGCTGCCAGAACAATCAAAGCTTTGTGTTATCAAACAATGTCAAGTGTTATAGAGCAAATTTTGTTTTTAAGGTATAGTCATCTAGGAACATTTTTTCTTTTGTGCATATTGTTTTAAAAAATTTACATTTTATGTCAAGTCATGTATCAAGGAATTTACCCAACATGGGATTGGATGGCTGTAAAAGACCCTATATCTTTACCATATATATATATATACACATATATATATATATATATACATATATATATATATATATATATATATATATATATATATATATATATATATATATATATATATATATATATATATATATATATATATATATATATATATATATATATATATATATATATATATATATATATATATATATATATACATATATATATATATATATATACATATATATATATATATACATATATATATATACATATATATATACATATATATATATATATATATATATATATATATATATATATATATATATGTATATATGTATGTATATATATAAACACACATATACACACACACACACACACATATATAAACATGGAAAATCATGGAGATAAAATGTATTTAAATAATTACAATGCACTCTCAATATATATAAACAAAAATGAAATATCAAAAATATAAAAAAAAACTACTTAAGGAAAAAAGTTTCACAATAGTATACTTTAATAAGTTGCATGACACAACTGCTGCCATTGGTTGATACTATAGCCATCAACTCATCCTACTCCTTCCCCCTCCTCCAATCCTAAACCCCTTGCAATGGAACTAGAGTTAATGTTATCTAGAAGTGGTTTTGAATCTGGAACTATAATCCCAGCTTAAAGGCTTTTTTAATGTTTATACTGTCTAAACTGATTAAATAGGTACAAAAAAGTATATATTTGAATAGCTTTGTTACACTTTGCTCAACCATTCATCATTTTCAATTCAATTGAGATTAATGTGATATATATTATGATACAAACCCTTATAGGTAAGTTCTAAAGCAAAACTTTTAACAATATCTCTCTAGTGAAATAAATAGTTAATAAAACTTTTTAACAAAACTATGAGCACAAATGATTCTTAAGCCATTCATTTTTAAAGTGACTTTATCATAAAATTTAAAACTAACTGCTATACCCCAAAGCATGTTAAATATGCCTTGGAGCACAAGGTTGTTCAGTATTAAGTCAATACTTTTATTTTAACATGTAGCCAAATATGAGGTATGAATTTTCTTTAGTTCTAGATTAGAGTGTGTTACTTTGTCTCCCACACTAAACAAATATATTGGCTCCCCTTCAACAATTTATTAACCCCTTGTAGCATAATTTTTATGTAACAACAAATATATAGCTAAACACCTTTTTCAGATTTTTTGTTTTTTACTTTAATTGGGACTAACATCTCTTTAAGAAGGCATGTCTAAAAAATTTATTATTAAGCTCACCATAATTTTTTATCCATTTAGAAATGATTTGATTTACTTTATTAGTGATAGATAAGAATATTATCATTAGAATTACAAATGATTAAAGAAAAATTTAAGAATAGAAAATTATTGTCACTAAATTTAAAATTGTTCTAAAGAAAAATAGAAAATAAGATTTACTTTAGTAAAATTAGGAAATAATTATGTGACATTTTTCTATCTATAATGATATCCATTATGAGTGTTTGTTAAAGTTTGCCCCTATTTTATAAAAATTTAGTTATATTGTGGTATTTATATATACTCTAAAAATAATAATCAACTATGTTAATTTTTACATTATATAATTATAGTGTGATTTTAAAAGAGTGGTGATTGTGAAATTATATTACTGAAATGTGAAGGCTATGAATCATCATTTTTTAATTCTAACTAAACATTATTTTATATAGAAAATAATTCCTCTCTAACTTTAATATATATTCGAAAATTTTAAATAACCATACAAGTAAACTCAAAACTAATTTTAAAATTTAACTTAAATTGATACATTAATTACATAATTATTTAATATTTATATAATTCACATAGATTTTATTATACTTTTCATCTTAGTAAAAAAAATTATTTGCTATCAGATAGAAAAATTTGATAGTGGTAATATATCAAATAATAGTAATGCAAAGATTTCAGCCATAATTAGTAGCAATGAATCAGGCCAGTTATATATAATAATTTAAGTACATATTTTTAATTTTATTTAACAAAATTAATAATACATAATCTATATAAAGAAAAATTCAAGAGTTAATTATTCTCACTTACAAATCAATGTCAATTATAAAATATACTTTGGGCAAGTGAGGATCATCACAAGTGAGGTGCTCCAGAAGCACAAGTAGCTTCTCCAGAAGCTTAATCTCACACTGGCTCTAAGATGAGTAGCAGATCAATTCATGCATAGCTCCCTCACTTACCTCAAGTGGTGGATAGCTTGGACGATTGAAGAAAAGAAGAAGAAGCTCTCACACGACCAAGAAGAACACCTCAGGAATAATAGGACAATTGGAAAGTCTAAGGTGTTTAGCATATAACCAAGAAGGCCACAATGTTTCTAGCTTATGGGAGTTACTCTTGTTCCTTCACCACTACGATCGAACAGTCCTTCGTGCCAGCACTACTGGATCTCTCTCGTCAAGCAATGCACGAGATTGCGAGATGGAACGCGGGCCAGGGAGCTCCAGGCACAGATTCTCGCCAGCGAACAGCGCAAGAACAGATTTCTGATCAATCTTGTGATCCAGATGCATGGAAAATGCGGGAACTTGCGGGAGGCGCGAGCGATCTTCGATGCGATGGAGGAGCCCAATGCCTTCTCCTGGTCCATGATGATTGTAGCGTATGCCCACAATGGGTATCTGGGCCGAGCTCGCGAGCTCTTCGACCAGATGCCCGAGCCCAACGTGGTAGTTTGCAACACTGTGCTGGGATTTCTCTCGGATCTCCGTGAAGCGCAAAGGTTCTTCGCTGGAATGCGCGAGCGCGACACTGTGTCTTGGAATTCGATGGTCCAGGCAGCGATCAGGAGCGGGGATTTGGAACAAGCACGAAGATTCTTCGATGCTATGCCCGAGAGAGATAGTGTGTCTTGGAGTACGATCATCACTGGCTACACGCAGAAGAATCACTTGGAGGAGGCTAGAAGGATCTTTGATTCGCTGCCGGAGCCAGTGATGGAAGCCTGGACATCTATGATCGCAGCACATGCCCAGAGAGGGGATTTAATCCAGGCGAGGAAGCTTTTCGATCGAATGGAGAGGCGAGACATAGTGTGCTGGAATGCTATTGTGGCAGCTTACGCACAGCGCGGGGGAGAGATCTCTGAGGCGAAGAAACTTTTTGATCGAATGCCAGAACACAATGTTCTATCGTGGACGGCTATGGTGGATGGATACGCTGCTGCTGGCAGGGTGGATCGCGCCAAGGAGCTCTTCGATCGTATGCCGGAGAGAAATGTGGTGTCGTGGAACTCGCTGATCCAGGGGTTTGCCGAGCATGGAGATCTGGAGCAAGCCACACTGCTGTTCCATCGAATGCCACACAGGGATGTGATCTCCTGGAACGCGATGATCTCGTGCTACGCCAGCTCCGGGAAGATCGAGCTCGCCCACGAGCTCTTCGATCGCATGCCCCAGCGAGACATCGTGTCCTGGACCGCGATCGCTGCCGGCTACGTCCAGTGTGGGGAGATGGATCGAGCGCTCGCGATCTTCGAGCGAATGCCGTGGAGAAATCTCGTGGTATGGAACGCGATCCTTGCCGGTTGTGTGGAGCAGGGATATCTCTGCGAGGGGAGCACGATCTTCCACCAGATGCCCGAGCGAGATAAGCTCTCGTGGACGTCGATGATCGAGATCTTCGGGCAGAGCGGTCACGTTGATCAAGCTCGCGAGTTCTTCGACCAGATGGAAGAACACGACGTTGTCTCCTGGACGGCAATGGTGACGGCCTATGCCCAAAATGGGCATACCCGCGAAGCTCTGGCGCTCTTCCGAGAG